TTTTTTTTTTTTAGGTCAGTGGGAACTCAGGGTAAGCATGGTTTAGGGGGGTCTTCCAGCCTTCTTTTTATTCCTAGGTGAGGTGTGGAAGGCAAAGGTGGCCAGCAGAGGCTGCTGCAGCACCAGCTATGCGTCTCACTATCTAAAAAATTCCCTTCACCATTTAGGGTCTATGGGAGGAAGAGGGCTGTGGTGGCTGAAGTTTGCTGTAGTACAGGGCTGGGATCCCCAGAGTGAAGAGGTACCAGAGAGTGGAGTCTTGGTTCATATGGGCCTTGTTTTCAGAGGGAAAGAAGGTTGTGTCCTTCCTCTAGTTTGGGTTGGAAACTTAGCCTACAACCCTGGGGCTGGTTTCTCAGAAAATCCCTGTCATTTCTGGTTTGGACTGTGACTTTCCTGAACTGACAAGTCTTGTTCCTGCTCCTTCAGGCAAACTCTAGGCAAGTGGGTTCCTAGAACTACCAGCCTTTGAGATCAGTGCCTTCCTAGGTAGATGAGCACTTGGGTGCATTGGCAAGAGGGATCATGGGCTCAGGGACACCCTGGGCCAGAGGGGACCTGAGGAACTCTGGCATCTTCTTTGCCTGCCCTTGCTGACTGGCAGGTGGGGATTTCGGACCAGCCTTGGGGGCCTGTGAAGGGAAAGCATTCCTGGCAGCTGCCAGTCCTCCCTCCTCTCACTCAATCCTAACTCTGGCAGTTGGAATCCATTTCCTTCTTCCCCATCCAGGGGGCTTTCTTTCCCTCAACCTTCAAGTGCAGAGAGGGGAAACTGTGATGTCTGTGTTGAGAAATCACAAGGGGAAAGCCTTGTTGGCTGAGTTGGGGTTTGGTCCTCACCTCCTCAGCTGTGATGACCTGATCCCTGGTTGCTCACCTGGCACTAGTAAGCACTTCTGTCATCCTCCTTACTCATCTGAAGGGAGAGGCAGTGTCAGGCTTGGCAGATTGTGTGCTAGTGACCATACCATGGTAAAAGGGGAGGTGTTCTAAGCAGGCTGCAGGGAGAGCTGCCCTGCCTAAGCAGAGAATTCTGGAGCAGCAATGGGTATCCTGGGTAGCCACAGGAATTGCCATGGCAACGCGCGAGGCAATACAGCAATAGCAGCGGGAGGCTGAGATGGAGCAGGCCTCCTCTAGGCTGGAAGTGAGTTCCTGGGGTGGTCAGAAGAGGGACTTGAGGGTAAGAAAGAGATCTATAAACCCACAATTGCCCCCAGTATAGGGTAATGTGGCCCTGCTCCTTGCCTCTTGCCGGTGGGAATCCCACATTCCCTGTTACGCATCTGTGAGGTGTGTAGCCTGGCAGAGGGCCTATTGGTGCGTGGAGGGGTGGGGAAGGGAAACGAAATGCAAATGCAGAGATTTATTTTCTTGTACACTGAAACATCGGAAGAATCGCAATAGGTTTTAGATGGCTGCAGCCTGCTTCTCTACCTGGGGGACTCTGAGCCATCAAAGTTAACCTAGACTAGTAACCAGGGATCAATTACTGGCCTGTAATGTGCTTTCCAACTTCCCCTTGCAAAAAGCAGCCTATTTGGAAAAAGAAAATAAACCAAAGTAGTTTTCTTGATCTCTGGTGTGGCTGAGCCGGTGTGCCCCCCGCTCCCTCCCCACTTGCCTTTGCCCACTCCTCACTCATTACCTCCACTCAATGAGTCAAGGCAGGGTTAACCCCTCAGGTGCCAGGTTTCGGGTGAGAAGTGGTTGTTATTGCCTTCTTCTCACACGCCCTCCTCCCGCCACGGTTCTCAGGAGTGCAGAGCGGGCCAAGTCCAGTCCCTGCCAACCTCCTCCCCACCCTCCCTCTGGCTGCCAAATCTGACTTTGATTAGCGTGTAGAGGGGAAGAAAGCAGGAAAATAGAATATTAAAATCTTAATTCAATTTAAAACACTGTCATTCACAGGCATGCCAAACAGTGAGATGACTAATTATTATGCAAATGAGGCAGATAGAAAAGTGATTAATAATTGCACAAATTAAAAATTATTGTAAACATCCTGTGACGAGCGATAAGTCCGATGGAGAGGCGAGGGCGGTGGGCCGGGGAGCCATGGCGGAGCTGGCTTCTGCATCCTTACTTCCTCATTAGGGGGACTTCATTAGCTCTTGATGATGGGGCTCGGTGCTGCCAGGGGTGGAGGAGAGGGGGACCAGCCAGTGCCCAGGCCATCTGTGCTGGATCTTCAGTCCCTCTCCAGTTCCCCTTCGTGGCCCTCTCACCTAGCCGGGCTGGGGGGAGGAAGGCTGGCCACTATGGAGGACAGGTGCCATGTGGAGCATCGCTGCTGCTTTCCATCATTCTTCTACCAGCTGCTGCCTCTGTCACTGAAGCCTCAGTGCTGGGTCAGGAGTGATGGTGAGGAGACCCCTGGGTGTGGGACTGGTGGGTGCATCCTGATTCATCCAGGCAGGTTCCTCAGGGGCTGAGGAGGGACACCTGCATCATGCCTGGGTGTTGCAAGTTCCTGGTGCTGATCCACAGGCACAGGATGTTGCTAGGGCCTCCTGGTTACCTGGATCTCTGGGGCCACAGAGGAGTTAACACAGTGCTCTGAGCCCAGTCTTTTCCTTTCTCCTGGTTCAGTTTGCTTCCAGTTTCCTGCAATGGGGTTGGCATGGGAGCTGCATCAACTTGGGTTGACCTGGTTTCAAGGCTGGGGACCAAGGCTGAATTCCTCTGTCCAGTGGTGGCATTTGTGCTTTCTAGAGCATGTTGCTGTCCTGAGTCCCCCTCAGTGAAGTGAATCATTCTTCTTGACAAAACTGAACTGTGGCTGTAGCCCAGCTGCCTCCAGCCAGCTGACCTCTGGGCATGTGTGGGTGGGCCTGGAGCTAGGCTTAGGGCAAGGTGGCTCGGAAATTTCACTCCCTGCTCTCCTTCAGTCACCATGGGCTTCAGGGAGCTGGCCTTCCATGTCCAGAAGAGAGTGCAGAACAAGCAGGGAGGCCCAGGACCTGGTCCAAGGAGTGGCGGTGCTGGAAATTGTGGCAGTTAGGAAGATTTCTCATGGCCAAACCTGTTGGAATATGGAGAGGACACAGGAAAGAGGCAGGAGGAGGGACACAGGGAGAATGGGCTCACTCAGCCTTTATTATCTCCCCAAGAAGCCCAGATTTTCCCAACATGGCTAAGAAGTGGACTTTTCATAGGCTGTGTCCCCAAACTTCTGTTCCTGACACTGTCATGCATAATTCGTCCATCGTCCTCCCCCCTCCCCCCGGTGTGGTTTTGGGGACGAGAAGGGTTGTGCCTATATCAGGACCCATACAGTTATCTCAGGGTTGATAGCCTCTGTGTAGTGTTGTCACCATGGCCACTGGTCCCCCACCTGGTGTTCTGTCCTCACTCAAGGTTTCTCCAATCTCATCAGGATTCTTGAAGGAGGAAAGTTCTTTCCCACTGGGACCTCAGGTACACTCCTGTCTTCTGCCTGAAACTCCCCAACTCTGAAGGCCTGTGAGCTCTTTAGTCATGGGTGCTGGGCTTCAGCAGGTCCTTCCCCTCCCCTCTGTCTGGCCATTGTTGGCTCCTGCCCTGTGTTGCCTGGACCCATTGTGGTTCTCGTTCTGTTCTTGTCTTGGCTCTTCCTGGACTCTTTGAGGCAACAGAGGGTAAGGAGAGGTGGTACTGATTCAGTGTGACTTGGGCAAGTTGCCTCACCTCTCTGAATCTTTCCTCATGTTTTAAGTGGGGGAAATTCTACAGCCTCATTAGATTTTTCATTTATCCTTTCCCATTTTCATCCATCAATTAATTAAATCAAGACTTCACTTTTATGAACTAGGTGCTAGGGATGCAGAGGTCTCAAGGTGCTTTAGCCTTGTCCTGTGCTCAAGTTCCAGGACCACCCGCAGGGGGCTTAGTGGCTAGTGAGCTGAGCCCTCTGCGCAGCCCCACTGGGTTTTCCTATTTCAGTGCTGGGAGGCTCCTTCTGGCAACAGTCCTGCCTCTGCTGTGCCCCCTCACTCGGGCAGGGTTGGGTAGGGCCTGGGCTCTGAGTTTGGGGAATGGTGGCATAAGGAGCTCCCAGAAGCAAGGTGGAGCTGCTCTTTCTTAAGGAGTGATTTTCCAAACCAGGCTGCTCATTCCCCTGGAGCTGCCACCCCTATGAGGAAGCACAAATTGCTGGTTGCTGAACAATCAAAGGGTCAGTCATTTGCCCCCTCCTCCAGGGAGATGTGATCCTGTTATGTTTCCCCTGGAAGGCTGCCTCCATGCGCACCCTGCTCCTGGTCAAGAGAAGAGCAGGCTGCACTATGGCACTTAGTGCAACCCCCAAAGGGCCTGGTTTGGCTCCACTATGCCCTCTGCAGTTCCCAGAGTGCCCTAGGAATGGCCCTTGTGCCACTCAGGAAAGTCAGCAGGGAGAGGGCTTTGCTTGAGGCAAGGGGCTGGACCTTAATGAGGGAAAGGAAAGGGGCAGGGAGTGGGGGACAGGGAGGGC